CAAACAACTACACAATGATAAGCACTTCCCTCTAATTAAAATTTATTGCTATTTTCTAGAACTTTTTACTACCACCTTGTGTGGAGCTAAACACCTTTTAGAGGCCTTGTCACAAGGCATGACTCAGTACTTGACCGTAACAGTGAGACTTACCGCAACAATGAGATTCATTACTGCTGTGTTACATAAAAGCTGTAAATGTGGAAGGAAAAGGGCATCCAAATCTTTCTGTCTCGTTGTTTTCCTCGTATAGCCAAATTCAGTGCTGTGAGGTTTCAACAGTATGCAAAAGACCCCTCATTTTTCCAGTGCAACTGGGAAGGCTGGCCAGGGTGAGCAGCAGTGCATGGCAGGGACACAGGGAGGCTGCATGTATGAGCATCCTTTTTGAGTGGTCCCTCAACTCCCATTTTGCTGCTCTGTTCACTAGGACTGGCTCTCCTAGGCTGACTGCTGGCAGTCACTGTGGGTGAAGGGCTTTTGTTACCACAACTGCAGAACACCATAACAGCAAACACATGCCTCCCACATCTTCTCCTGTCAAGCAACAGAATTAGCATTTTTTCCAAAGTTAATCAAAAATACATCCACACAACTGTCTATGGGCCCTTACTGATGGCTCCCCTAGCTTTGCACAGCTGCCATGAGCAATAGAGAATTTCTATGCAGTGTTGGTGTAGTTTTTCTTCCTTTCCTCACATCTGGCTGAACCACTTGCATCCTCCTTAGAAGAAACATGACACTTCTATCTTGTCCTCTTGGATAGTGGAAAAAAATATTCCCCTTGGCAAAAACATACAGTGTGCTCAAAATTTGAAATCTAGGGTAGCTAAAAGTAATCTAAGTAGTCTAAGAAATAAGCTGCATTTATTTAGATATCCTGTGGGGACTAAGGTACTGAACAGAGAGGCATCTGCAGTTGAAAATAGTCTTGAGGGCACATGGAGACCCTTCTCACGTCCAACAGGAGCCACAAGCCCCAGTCCACTGCCAGAAGGTGCTCAGTTTATGGGAGACAAAGAGGAAGGAGAAAAAAAGGATCCTGGTGTCACAGCAAGCTGCACAGAAGCAGGTCACATCCCTGCTGTGGCTGGGCGAGCCCGTTGCTGCTGGAATGTGTTAGTAAACAATTGCGGTAAAATAACTACCATAAACTAACAAACCACAGTGCTCTGTACCCACCCTTCTGCCTGGAAGCTCTGCAGTGTGGGAAGTGGCTGGGCTGGTAGAAACTCATGGGGCTGAATCACCTGCGGCTGTATCTGCTGGCTCCACAAAGACTTCCTGGATCACATGTGGGAAAGCACCTGCACTCACTCCAGTGCTGACTTTTGCCTAAATCCTTTCCTGCCTGCTGAGTGGGGCCTCGTAGGACACCCAGAGAAGGTGCTGCAGGTCAGGAGAGACCCTTTTCCTCCTCCTATGGACTATGCACTGGCTCTGTGACTCCTCTCTTACCAAAGCTAAAAAGAAAATCAGCCTGCAATGACTAAATTCTCATAAGAATTTTTCCAATGTTTACCTGCTTTGGCAGAGAGAACTTCAGTGCAGTAAAGGTCTCTCCTTTGGAAAAGGCCAAGTTTTGCAGTCCTCACTCAGAAAACCCTGCTGGATTTACTGAGACTCTTTCACTCCAGATACGGCATTAAGAAGAATTTGAAGATCATTGAGAAATTAAAAGTAATTGCTTGCAAACTTTTGTGTGATCTCAATAAGGAACAGTCCTATCTCATTTCCACTCAAATCCCTTGAAACTTGCTGTGAGATACACACCAGGAGTTTTGTTCATATAGTCCATGTTACTCTTTAGATGGAGGGACTGACCTGCAATTGTGAGTTGGTATTTCCAACTTTGTACTTGGCACACGCAGGCACGTTTCCCAGTCTTCAACCTAACCAAGCAATTAAACATATTGGCCTATAAGCATGTGCCTAAATTCTTCATTGGCTGACAAAATGCTGGCATGTGGTTAAATCCTACCACCATCACTGGGACAGTCTTCCTTTTTGCTAAGCTGCTTTAGTAAAGAAGGACAGAGCCCGGTGCTCGCCTATATGCCTTGAATTTAGACTTAGCGTAAATCCCATCTTCCCCTTTGCTTCTGTAACACAGACAAAACCCTCCTCCATACCATGGGAAAGGCACTCTTTTCTGTCCAGGGCATTCTCAAAAACAGGCAACTCACTGGTACAGAAAGACCCTGCCAATGTCCTCTCTGAAGGATCCCACAGCACAGCAGAGTCAAGACCTGAGTTCACGTCATCCAATGGATCCTGTGCTATTAAGATATCAGCTGCTAATGAAAGGAAGAAGAACATCATTTACGGGCTGGAAAAACTGATCAGCATGGCAGGGAACAGCTAGTTCTTGTGTCTTACCTGTTATACTATTTTTGATACTTAACTAGAGTTTTCCTTAAGTACAGCTCCTTAGGCATCTGTAGTTCCCATGAGCATCCATTCATTTCTTCCCTAAAGCTGAGATGAGCCATATGCTACCACCTGCAAGGCTGATTATGGATCAGACAAACATGAAGCTGCATGTGCGGTCACCACAACATCATGTAAGTGCAAAGGATACTGCCCTAGGCATCCATAAAGATTTTTTTTCTCTGCAAGCCCACACTGCTGTTTCTACATAGTAGGTAAGGGGTGAGGCATAAAAAGGCACTGTGCTTGTGTGCTATGGCTGGGGCACCAAACTGTGTCTTCAAAGTACATTTGTGGTGCCTCTCCTGTCTTGCAGTTTTGAGAAAACAGACGTAACTGCGAGCAGGCACTAGAAATCTTTTAGCCACACAGCTAGTAGATGCCTAGTTCTAGCTCCCCTTCCGCTGGGTAGCTGTTGCTCACTTTTGATAAAGAACACAACAGCTTCCAAAATGCTGGGAAAGGACCTGGAACTCACAGCATCTGTAGGACACAAGTACCCGCTCCCTGACAGACGGCTCCTCATCATCTCAGGTTTGCCTCTGGCGAGCAACCATGCAACACATCTGAACTGCTGTTCTTACTTGAAGTTAGGCACTTTGGGGGATGCATCCTGTTGATCCTTAGCACTTCAGTGAGTTGAGCTACCTTATGAACTTACTTGTAGGCACTGTTTTTTGAGCATGGTGGAGAGAAGAGAGTATCAGTGGGTATGTGCTCTTCAGTGAAACTGGCTTATGTATGCACTACAGAGATGGTGGGTTAATGGCTAAGGAATTGTGCTATTTGTTATCCTCATACAAACACAGTCACATTAAGGGGAAGGATCTGTATCTGGATGGGGTTTGGATGTCAGGTTAACACAGCAGTAAAGATAAGCGGTGCACATATTTCATTACACTTCCTTATACTTCCTGCAAACCCACAAACAAATACAGGCTTAGTGGAGAACAAATTCAGAGAACTTGGGGGTGTTGGTTGACAAGAAGCTCAACATGACCCAGCAATGTGCACTTGCAGCCCAGAAAGCCAACCACATCCTGGGCTTCATCAAAAGAAGCATGTCCAGCAAGTCAAAGGAGGTGATCCTGTTCCCTCTGCTCTCGTGATACCCCACCTGCAGTACCGCGTTCAGCTCCAGGGCCCTCTAGAGAGATGATTTTAAGGTCCCTTCCAACCCATATTATATGATTCTGTGATTAGTAAGATCTCTTTCAATACTTAGCTCAGAATACAGTCCATGACTGTTGAATTCTAGATTTGGTGAGAATTATAATAACTTACATTCTTCAACTTTTGCCAAGATGATTAATATGAATCAACATGCCTAGGTGAGGAAACCTGCCTGGTATGAATCATTCAAAACTATGATGAAAGAAAGCAAAACACTTCAACTTAAGTGATCTTTGTTCCGCTAGGACTGAAAACATAATATTTTTCTCTCCCTGAAATGCAACTGATTGCAGTGAGTCTTATTTTCCAAAGTACTGAAAGCCTCCACAGCTCCTACAGCAGTCAAGGTGGGCTGTGGAGGCTTGAAAACTATGTCCCACCTGCAGTGCCCAGAATTCAGGTTCCACTGCCAAGCTCGGGCTATAGCATTATTGCTCCTTCCCAGATTCTAAGGAGCATGCTGAATTCACAGCTCATCTTCTTCTTCCCTGTGAACAATTAGTTAACATTATATTGCTGTTTCTACAAGCACTTAAATCCTGCAGAGAAACAGAGCCCTGTAAGTTCCTATACGGAAACACTATGATGATGTGTAGTAGCATCACTTCTAAGATATGTTGGCTGACAAAACAACAACATACTTTTACTCTTTCCTATACATGGGAAGTTTTCAAAGCAGCACATAGGATCAACTTTGTCTTTTTTCAGTTAAAATTGCAGTGGTACGACTAACTTTCCCGTACTCCTTGGAGACAATCAGCTCATGAATTCAGCTTACATTGCCAGGCACCAGGCTTCACCAAGGACCCAGCATTCTAAAGAATTTCTGCCAGTAAGAAGGTTAGGGCCAGAGGACAAGCCAGCTTCCCTGTTGTGTATGAAGCAGAATGCAATGCAGCAATGTAAAAGGGAGTGGACAAACTTGGCCTACCAAAAACAGTTGCACTTTGCAAAGTGAGTCTTTGCCTAAAGGTTGGCCAAGAAGACAAGCACAGTCAACAGAAAACAAGATCTGTAAACAAAACACTCCTTAGTGGTATTCAGTGAAGAGTGCTAGGCACAGTTCATCTGCCTATACTGATCCATGCTTGCCATGTAGCGTAAAGTGAGTGAAGAAGCAGCACAGAACAAATCTGGAGTACATGTGTTAACTTCCACCTGGGTCTTTTAGTGATGTGCACCTTGAGCCATTCCCTCCTCCTCCTGCTGCTTCCTTCTGCTGCTTAATGAGTGCAACCATTCCTCAGGGCAGCAATGCTCGGCATGAAATTCAGAGCCCTTCCTGTTAAATGGGAAGAGTAAGACTGATGTGGGCTGAACTGCCCAGGAGACAGATTGTACCTGGGGATTGAGTGCCACAGAACTGTGTCAATCTTCCACTCCCTTTCCATTCCCTGCTAAAAATAGTCTCTTCTTCTGGTTTCATCACTAATGAAGGATGGATTGTATTGACCAGGGTAGATGCATGAATGTCGAGATCCAGGCAAACCAGTGAAGGGAGGATAAAGTCCGTTTCTTTCCAGTTCAGGATTTCTCAGTCCAGTTGGCTGTATTAGGAGAAAAATGAAACAAGAAGGGTCTTATTCACACTCTCAAATTCTCCTTCAGACACAGCCTTGCCGTGTTTCCCAGCAGTTATTTGAGTAGCTAGAAGGAACAACGCGATCACTAAAGACCTCTATAACCTAGAATGATTTTTAATGTGAGAGCTGAGCATTGCCTGAATGAGTTATTCTGATGCAATCTAGATTCAACACCTTGCCAATTAGCAGATTTGAAGTTTACCTGACTCCACCAAACACAGTCTAAGTGCACAGTTTATTTTTAATCCAAGAGAATTGTGCTGATGAGGTCAGATATTGAAACAACTCACCAAAAGGATATTCTCCCAGAGCAATCCCTAAAGGAAACACTTCTAGAAAATCAAAGTTAGTTGTCTGCTTTGAGCATTACCTGGGAGCACTTCTCTCCCCACTAAGCATAGATACCTACTCTCCCAACACAGAGGCTTGGATTATACGTCAAATAGAAAGTGATCTGACCTTCCTTTCTCTTCCCTTCTCTTACTTAAGTAAATCTCCTGGGGACACTTGGTTGAGGAACTTTGATGTCTAAGACCAAGACTGTACAATCATTTCACCCAGTAAATAACATTAAACCAGCTGGTTTGATCTTATACTGAAAAGATCCATGCAAAGCCCTGATTACCTACCATGTTCTGAAAAGCTCCTCTTTCTAGTCGCCAGCAAAATAAAAGTCTTAAAAAATGTTTAAGAAATGCATTTACATTTCCAAATCTCCCATTCTTACTGGAATCAGGAAGGAGGATTATTTCCCTTTATGCTGTGCAATCCAGTAAACTTGTTTACTGGAAAACTTAAAATATAAGCCAGAAAAAAGGTATTGCTTGCCACTTTCTACTCTGGAAAGCAGAAGTCCAGAATGTGTTACTTGGCTGAAATCCTGCAACCTTCACTCACATGAGTAACCCACACACACCTTAAGTACATCCAGTATGTTGCTGGAAAATAGTGACATATGATATACCAGCGTCACAGCTCTGAATACAGACATTAGCAGATGGTATCAACTATGACAGCAGGTCTTGTGCTTCTGATTTTCTGTGCCCTACACAGCCTATTACTCCTCCACTACTTCTTCCCTGCCACTTCAGAGCCTGAAGGGATGCTCCTTAAGCACCTTTCCTACTGCAGGAAGTGGTCTGTACCCTGGAGAAAGGAAAAATGGAAGAAAAGAGGGGTCCTCAGTGACCAGCATCTTCCCTTATTGGGATGAAGTCCCCCAGGCAGAGGTCTCAACTTTCCAGCATCATCAGTGAGGGTGGATGGGAAAAAACTACCCTCAAAGATACCTAGCAGTCTGCCCAAAACCTTTAACTGTCTTTCTCTACTCTAGGATTGGGCTTTTGGAGCACCTAACAAAATGTTCCTAGACATTTCCCTAGCACACTTCCTAATGGCATCTCTTTGTGCTATTCACCACATGTAATAGCTAGAGCCCACAGGACTCCCAATGCCTTGCTGTCTATGCAAGTCATTTGTTTTGCTCTTTTTTTTTTTTTTTTCAGGAAAGGGATCTGTACATCAAAAAATAAAGGAATGTGTCTTTGCTGTGTCAGGCACAAAGGGTTTATAGTTAAGCTATTTTTTTATACCGAATAATATACATCTGTCATCTGCAACAGGTTCTTGGTGCTCCCATTCTCCTGCATCTCGATGGTCTCTCTGCCCCACTCCTGTGCCCGGGGATTCTTCGGATATTCAGCATACGGTGACATCTGGAAATCCCCACTCTTGAAAATGAGTTTACTTATGTCATTTTTATTCTTCCTGTTTACAAAAGAATGAAGGAAAGTGAAAACATACAACTTATGCTCCTATCTTGCATGCTTTTTTGACGTGATCTCAGAAGATTTACTTCTGTAATAAGCCTTGATTGGGAACAAAGATCACTTCAGAAGGGCTGTAGTCCAATCTTTTGTTCCGAGGCAAAATTAGGTATGAGGTCAGATTGTGCTACTCAGGGCATTATCTGGTGGGATGAAATCTCCAAGGATGGAGATGGCATAACCTCTCTGAGCAAGCTGTTTTACTGCTTTACTGTCCTCTTGGTGAAAAAGTTTTTCCCTCATTCAGTCTGAACTTCTCCTGCTGCCTGTTGTCTACTAAAAATGAGTGTGTTCGCCTGAGACAATGAAAAAGTCATGGAAATCTAGGAAGAAAGAAAAAATGGAAGCCCCATGCTGTTCAAGTCTTCAAGTGCTCAAGTATAGCACTTCTAGGCACTATGTTAATTCCTAAGAAGGAAGACCTAAATGGGGCTGGTCTGAATGACACCAAATGCCCCTAACATGACTACCATCAACACTTCCAGTTCAAATCAGAGCATCCTCCAGGAAGTCACATAACCTGCCAAAAGCCAGGACTCATGAGAAGATCAATCCATCCCTGCAGAGATCTGGCCATCACACCCTCCTGGATGAGGCTTGCTGGTCACCCTGGCTCAAAACACAAGGGAACAAGCACACACCACTGTGCCAACCAATTCACCGCCACATCTGTGTTACTGATTTGGGGCTGGAACGTGAGGGAGAGGGTGTTACTGCAAGGAAGCCCTTTTCCTGGTATATAAATCATGAAGCAGAGCTTTCTTGGCAAGCACATCTTGCTTCTAGTCCGGATCAACCTGCTGGTGTGAGAACTTCATGTGTACATGCATGTGTGTGTCTGAGAGGGAGACACACAGAGTGAGAGCACATGCAGGACTTGTCCATAAAGGAAAATGAGAATAGCCTTAAATACACTCAAACACCACTTCAGCAATAGCCAGTAACCCCTCCTGTTGTCTAAACTTCTCTTTTCTACTTAGCTTGCATTTTTGGAGACATAGCTGCCTTACAGCTGTGAGTGGGAAGGACTCTTTTGACTCTCCATCCTTAGACAACATGACTGTCAGGCACATGCTTAAGAGACACCCAGTTCAATTTTTTTAGCCTGATTGGTGGAGAAAAGAAATATATGCTCTAAATGAAAGCACAGTGCAATACTTCAGTGTCTGATTAATCCGCTTGCTTAGCTATCCTATGTTTTGGTCCATCAGGATTCACGTGTAGAGCACTAAGTGTGGTGTAACCCACTGAGAGGATGCCACGAATGAGCCAGGGCTGGTGGTGGTACCTACCGGCAGCAGGTGACAATCAGTGCTATGCCCATGATAAGCAGAAGTCCCCCTCCTGCAGCTGCGATCACCACGGTGATGAGCTGATATGCTGCAGATGGAAAAGACAGAGACTCACTCAGAAACAGCAATGTAGCTGTAAATTCTAATGTAAACATACCCACAGTCCTCATGCAAAGGGACTAACTGTTTATTTCCCATCTTCCCACCCTCTATAAGCAATATTGCCTTAGATTTTCAAGTGAAATGGATGGAGCTGGAGATCTCCTGCTAAAGGAAGAATAAGTTCTTGTTTTCCTAGGGGACAGATTGCCTTTACTGATAGATCAGAATAATTCAAATGATATTTCGTGGATTAATCTCTGAATATCAAGAAGGGGGTTAGACTAGATGACCTTTGAAAGTCCCTTCCAACCCAAACTATTCTATGATTCTAAGAGTGCCCTCTATATGTGCTATCATGACAGAGTATCCAGAGAAAAGTAGATCTTCCCTTAGGAGATAACACTGACAACTTTGACAAAGAAGGTCAATAAAATAATTCTCAGCAGAAAGTGAAGAAACAAAAACCCTGACAAGAGTAGTGTGTACCTACTGCATTTTAGACACAGTCATTTGCAATTACTTGCTTCAAAGCTCCCATTTCTGACACTGCAGAAATTAAAAGAAACAAAAATTGGTACTTACGGTTTCCACAGTTGAATCCACCTAAGCCAAATGGGCAGCTGGTAACAGAAAACAACAGGGAGTTTCAGTGGCTTAGTTGTGACAACAGGTCACCAAAGCAATATTCAAAAGGACGTAGGCTAGGAGCAGGGAACAGCCACCATACCTCACACAGGTCTCATTTTCCAGCTTATATCCATCTTCACAGGCTAAAAACAGAAGAGAGAAGGGCCATGAGCACCACGTAGTGGTGCAGAGAAGGCATTTCTCGCCGCTGCTTCCCACGTCAGCCTCACCCCAAACAACCCTGGGACTGACAAGCCGGTCTGCGCTGCTGGCACAGCAGGAACGCGAACGCACACTCTCAGGTGATGCAATATTTCCTCTGGTTTGTGCAAAACACCGTGCACTCAAATTCACCTCCCACTGGCTTTGGCAGGACTATTGCAGGGCTTCCCGGCAGAGCTAGCCCAGAGCCTGGCTCAGGGCCGGCAGCAGGTAACATAACTACCAGCAGAACCCGTTCTTGCCCAAATGGAAACCCATTGCCCACTTGTACCGTTTCTCAGAAAAGAGCAGCATAAAATACCTGCAAGTTCCTCCAGTTTTTGTTTTGAAACCTTATTTAAACAGCACTATTTTAGCACTGATACATGTTACGAATTGATTTTAAACATTAGCATTGGAACAAAATGTTATGCAAACACAGTTGGGGTAACCTGAAGTGGTACGTTATGTTTGCCTTAGGCCACCTTTTTTTCCTGTTGTTCAAATTTGCAGCTAAAACAAATTTGGAAATATAGTATTTTACTACAGAATGGAAACTAAATGTACTAGGTCTAAATAAGCCCGAAAACTGCTATGTACAAAATGTTAGTGAAAAACTAAAACCATGACTTCAAAATAAAATCATTTCTGTGCTTACAGACAGCTATCTCATCACCTGAATTATGTGAGAAAAGTATGCTACTCTTCTGAGGAACACCAAAGGTGGTGATAACATTGGGCATACAATTAAAAGTTTTAAATTACTGATAAGATCACCATTTTTCTCAGTAATAGTCCCTCCAGGACTCCTGCAGATCTGCTGACTTTGACAGAGGAAGGAGGCAGTGGTCACTCTAAGTACTCCATACCGAGTAGGAATGACACAGAGTCACTTTGGGTAGAGAGCTAGCACATGCAGCAGCCCTTGGGGTCTGCAAGATATTACCCAAGCATCTGGGAAAGCTCTGCAGCACACTCCACAGGGAATAAAACCAGATCGTTAACTGAAAACACAAATGCTCATGGATTTTTTTCCCCCTCGAACATGATAAGCTTAAAACTGGTGAGGCGGCAGGTTTCACACTACCTTCCCTCTGCCTTGCTCTCTAACTGTAGGAATAACCCACAGACAAATGCTCAGGCACTGTCTAACCCAGCAAGTGTGAGGAAATCTGTGGGGAGAAGAAGGAAGAAGGGGCTTCCAGCAGAGCTCCCAGCTAAGCGGCGGCAAAGCCCTCTCCTCCTCTGCTGCTCCCAAAAGCACACCAAATGCCTTTCCACCTCTGGCACACCCAGAAACTGTATTTTCAGAAACACTTGGCACAGAAGGGGATGAAGGAAGAAAAGGACAAACGTGCAACATTGTCCATTAGGATGGGCTGGCAATATCATAGTAAGCCAAGAGAGAGCACTAGTATCCTAGCTGGATTCAGAAGTTTATGGTACTTCCAGCACCAATGAGAAGTGATATTGATGCCAGCAGGGAGCAATGTGACTGTGACCTCCCCTCATAATACAGGTCACAGAACTTCCCTAAATTTAATTCCAGTTTCAAACGAAATAGTTGAACTGGAGCTACATTTTAGAGAACCGTCCAAGATTGATTCTAATATTTTCAGTGACAGACAATCAACCACAACCCTGGGTCAGATACTCATAAAGTTAATTTCCTCAGCCATTAAAAACATTCACCTTCTTTCTGGTCTGAATTATACCAGTGTCAAATTCCAGCCTTTGGATGTTTACATGCTAGATTGGAAAAGGTTACATGATCACATTTCTCCTCCTCACCATCAAATCACTCCTTTAATAAAGCCAAGTACACTGAGATCTCTGAGTCTCCCTAGTTATTGCAGCTTTTCTCTGAATGCTCCCAGCTTTTCTTGGACCTTTTGATTTCTGATTCCCAGAAATAGATGTTGCAAGACCAAGGATAACAAAACTTCCCCTCTTCTGCTTGTCTGTGCCCCCTAAAATGCCCTCAGAGACCATACTGGCCTTAAAGCCAGAACTGGGGACCTCTTCTTTACCCGCCAGGCCTCCTTTGCAGCTCTGTCCCAGTCTCTGCTTTCCAGGAGACACAACCCACAGTGTGCCTGGCACTCTGCTCTTGGATGCCTTGCCTTGCTTGCAGTCATACTGAAATACTGTTTGCCTATACACCATTTACTAAGTGTCTCATGTCACTCATGGTGTGGGGACACAGATGAGTGATGAATTCACATCATGAATATGACTGCTCTAGTCCCAGACTTCGCATAGCAACTGACACCAACAATGATGGGGGTTGATGTCCATGGTAAGCTGGTCTTGTACCCCTTTCTCTCCCCCCTACTTCTCCACTACCTCTTTCACTCCATATATTCCCCCAGAGCTGGGGATGTGGAGGGTAAGGCTCTTTATATAGCCCTCTGCTGCATCTCATCATGATACTTTTTGCACTGGATTTATTTTTCTCTCTCTAAGACAGTTTCTTTGAAGTCAAGAAAGAGTTAAGACCTTCAGTCAACAGACAACCAGGGCGAGAGTAGCAAATCCCAAAGGATCTTTGCCTAGCTCATTCATAATATGGAGGCATTAGAAAAATGAGACTGGAAGGGTTGCTCCTTTCACTTGCTAACAAAAGCAGACCAAAACCATTATGGATCAAATGTTCTATCAAAGTGAGCCACAAGATCAGGCAATAATGAAATCTACAGTGAAGGGGAGGGAGGCATCACCTCAACAGCTCAGTGGAGTTGCCTTCTCTAACGAGCGCAGCAGCCCCATGCTCCCCAGCCCCAGCCTACTGCTTGTGTGTTGGGAAGGCCTGGAGGAGCCTGCAGGTAGATGCTGGAGCCCAGACTAATCTCTCCCACTCAGCCCTATCCCAGTAATGTGTGTAAGGCACATGCACCTTGAGCGGCCTCAAAGTTGGAGTTGTGCTTTAGGCAAGCACAGCCCTGGGTGCCCATGGGCACACAGCTCCAGGCCAGGAGGCTATAGGGGCAGTAAAGAGGAAAAGCAAGATCCTGAAGGTGCATATCTCTGTCTTACTTAAATACTTAGTGCTTATATCTCTTCCTCTCCTCACCCTGCCTTTTCCTGCCACTTTGCTTTCTCCTCTGGCATCTTTCCTGCTCCCTTGAACATGCTCCCAGGAGAGCTCACACTGTCACACTCACTCGGAAAGCTTTCAAACATGAGCAGGGAATGGAGGAAAGGTTTAAGTGTCAGGGGTCAAGCAAAAGTATTGAGTTGGGGTTTTTTATTCTGGATTCCTTTGCCTTCCCGAAGAGACTCAAGGGTCTCTTTGGAAACCTGCTTTGCTGCTCCTTCTTCATTTCAGTAACACTCATGCAATTAAAAATAGCATGCTGTTTGAAAAGATGGCACATTGGGTTTGCCGCTCTGTTTCTAAAACAGCCCTGAAGACACCAAGAAGGTTGAAAATCAGCAATGACCCAGAGGCAGACAAACTGCACACCAAAAGGTACCACAGCCAATGTGTAGCTCAGAGACCCAACTTTTCCTTGGTCCAAGGGGTGGTTTTTCAAGCACGCCCCAGGGGACAGCCACTGCAAGGCAGCACAGAACAATCTCTGAAGGTCAAGGCAGCTGATCCCCCATGCCCCAGCACCTCTCCCAGCCGCACTTGCCTTCCCACGGGGGAGACCGGACAGGGTAGCACAATAGCCATTTCCCTCTTTGCAAATACTATAACTGGAGTTACTGTGCCACATTTTCATGACCCACAATGAGGGTCAGATGCTCAGGAGACCTCAGTTCCTGTTTAGTCATTAAGAGGGCAGAGATTTTCAAAGAGGCTTGCATACTGTATGCTATATTTATCAGAAAATAGACCTAAATACCAAATGAGTGCCATAGCTTGGCTTTTGAAAAAGCCTTTAAAAATCTCAATCACATGGTTTACCCAGATTGGAACAAAGTGATGCTGGAAATCTGATAAATTGCCAGAGCATGGCATGATGCAGTTAGTGCTACCCTCACACTGCTGCAGCCTAAATCCTGCATCAGCCCTGTCCCTCAGACACTCTCAAGCTGGTTAATAAGATGTTTCCTACTGACAGCATTGAGCTGAAGGTGGAATTGAGGCCCCGCTATGTGCAGGTAGAGGGGGTTTTATATTTTGCACAACAAACAAGATCACTAAGTAGGGAGTAACCACATGTTACAAGATGTTAGATCTCTTACCCCTCTGCAACCATCACATCTGAGTGCCTCACAGCCTTTCAGATATTTACCTTCACCAACACTCCTTGACAAGAGACACAGACAAGAAAAATGGAGTAACTTGACCTTGGATCCCTACTGTGGATAATGGGGCAAGAACTGGGCAAAGCCTACCAGGTTTCAGCTCAGCTCCCCACTCACTATGTAAGCTATTCTCTGCCACTCAGGGATCAATGGAGATGGTCAGTATTTCCTAATAGAAATCCTTCCCCCAACATACAAGATGAAGGGAAGGAATTAAAACACAAAGGAGAAAGATTTTGGCTAGAGCCCATAGAGAAGGGCACCATGACCTGGAATCCATCTCCATGATGTCCATACCTGCAGCCCATGAGTTATTTCCAGGCATATTTTTTTAACTCTCTGATCAGATTTGGAATCAATAAAGCATCTCCTTCTATTTCAACAGCAACCCAGCAGAAACTGCCAGAAGCTGGAATAGGTTGTCCAAGGAAGCTGTGAATGCTCCAACCCTGGAGGTGTTCAAGGCCAGGTTGGACAGAGCCTTGGGCGACATAGTTTAGTGTGTGGTGTCCCTGCTCATGGCAGGGGGATTGGAACTAGATGATCTTAAGGTCCTTTCCAACCCTAACTATTCTATGATTCTATGATTCTATAACCACTACTGCAATTCTTATTGATATGTCATCAGAAAACTGCATTTCTTAAGAAGCTCTACAGTAACTGCTGGAACTAGGGATGGACACCCTGCTCCCACAGAAGTCATCTTGACCATCGGCACATAGACAAAGACCTTGTTTAAAATACAGAAAAACTAGATTTCATTATCTGAGGAGTAGCTAAAGAATAATATAGTCCTTAAGCTTAAAAATTCTATTTGGAACCCAGCTGAAAAATAAATTAGTAATTTTCAGGTACTTATTTTTAAAATATTGAAGATGTCTTAATATAGGCTTTTGAGCTTAAAGCACTTCTGCTAAGTTCACTGAGAGTTCAGACAAAATCAAAACAAGCAGAGACGCACATCATCTCTGTTCTGTGCCACTGAACTGAAGCCCAAAGCAGTCAGGCCCCTTTCTCCCTCTTCTCAATCACTGTGATTCACAGCATGCTCCAGAAAGAGATAATATTATTCCTAGAGAGAGACTGTATCTTCAGCATCTGCTGAAAAGTCCCCTAACTAAATAAAAGAAATTTGAGCTGCTAATATTTATTCATAATATTGAGCTTCTTGCCTGCGTAGCGATACACACATGCATACTCATTTCTACTGGAACAAAAAGTTTAAGCAAAATTCAGGCAAAACACACTACAGAAAGAGCCATACCTCTGCAGGAGTGGTCCATCTTGTTGTATTTGAAGTACCCACTTTTGCACTGGCAGAGCGCGATTCCATCAAAGTCGGTGCATTCAGAAGTTTCCTTGTCACATTCAGGGTCTTTCTGCTTGCACAAGCTGCCAACTGTCGGGAAGAGGCAGCCAACATCAGCGTGGTTCTCTCTAAACCCACTGTTACACACATGTGCTTTCCTGGGCATCACATTCAGCTGCTTTAATCTTCTTTCTTTTTTTTTCTTTTAAATAGTATTTGTGACACTAGGAGACAGTCAACATGACTCTGTGCCAAATTTTCTTGCATATCTACCGTCATTTGTATGGGCAAATAGAAGGAGAGTATAATAGATGTTTCAGCTTGGAGGCAGAAGGGGAAATGAAAAAGAAAGATTTGGTTTGGCTCAAGCTGAAACACATTCACCCCCTGAGATAGTTCAACAAATCAATTTTTAAGCTTATATCAAGTAAAACATTTTGCTAAGCCCAAAGCAATTTTTTTTCCATTTCAATATTAAACGCTGGATTTTTTCATTTTTCAAACAAAGAATTTGTCCTTTCATTTACATTACTTCGAAGCAGTGCTTTACTTTAGAAAGTCAGATTTGTTACAATGAGCACTCAGCAAAATCGTGGGTAACTGACGGAAACTGTGTCACAAAGTTTGCATTTTTTACTGGGAGGTCAGACTAAATGGAATGAAGAAACAAAAAAACAGCCATGAGAAATAGGATTTTATGGAATACGCGTCACTCATTTGGCCCTCACCTTTTATAAACCTCTCCCTGCTAGATCCATCATATTCTTTTTAATCTGACATCTTTTCTTGTAAGCACTTACACAAGTACATAATTTGTTTCTTATTCTGCTTATTTCAAGTTAAAAGTAGACTTTACCAGAAGCATTGTAATCAGAGGTAGTGGCTAGATACAATCTGAGAGGATCTACCAAACTAATGTAATTCAATCCATGATGGAGTGTGGCTTTAAGACATGGCATGTTAAAATAAAAGCACACTCTAGATTTCTCATCTTCATGTTTGTTTTGCCAAAATAATCTGTGGGGTTTCCTACTACACCCAGGCTAAGTGGTGCTGCTTTCTATCCTCAAAGCCTCAAACCCTGAAGTCACAGAGCTCCATGCACAGAATTTTTGTTGCAGTAGCCCATCTTCCAAGGGTGCTCACTCCCTGCATCTGGCTGATACCTCTCACAGCTAAATCTCCTCTGTTGCTCCCTCAGAAAGCAAGGACCAGGAGGTACAATGGGGTCCACCTAGAGAAGGTCCTGCACAACACTCACAGAATCATAGGATTAGCTAGGTTGGAAAAGACATTTAAGATCAAGTCCAACTGTTACCCTGGGACTGCCAAGTCCTCCACTAAACCGTATCACTGAGGGCCTCATCTGTATGTTATTTGAACGCTTCCAGTGATGGTGATTCCACCACTTCCCTGGGCAGCCTGTTCCAATGCCTGATCACCCTCTCAGTGAAGAAATTGTTCCTAATATCCAATCTAAACCTGCCCTGGAGCAGCTTGATGCTGTTTCCTCTTGTTACTTGGGAGAAGACCAGTCACCTCCTCTCTCCATTCTCCTTTCAGGTAGTTGAAGAGAGTGATAAGGTTCCCCCTGAGCCTTCTCTTCTCCAGACTAAACAACCCCAGTTCCCTCAGCTGTTCTTCATAAGACTTGTGCTCCAGATCCTTCACCAGATTTGTTTCCCTTCTCTGGACCGTCTCCAGCAACTCAACATCTCTCCTGTAGTGAGGGGCCCAGAACTGAACACAGTATTCAAGATGCAGCCTCACCAGTCCTGAGTACAGGAGGATTATGACTTCTCTAGGCCTGCTGGCCACACTGTTTCTGACAACACTGATGTGTTCTCCAGTTCTCTGTGCCGCACTCACATTCCCCTTTGGCAAGTAGAGGATTTGGTAACAAAAATCAAAAGCTCTTAATTGTGAGCCAACTTTAGACCCTGCATCACTGAAATTAGATAGGCAGGAGAGTGAAGCTCCCCACATATCCTCCAGTAGTTCTAATCAACTTCACTGGGGTGGTTTGTCTCTTGACTTTCACACTGTTTCCCTGCTCCCAGCTGCATGGGTGGAATTAAGACTTATGGTTTTTGATCTGGCCAGGGCCCAGTGTCATATCCCGGAGATGAAAGGCTGCCCTACAATGCCTCTAAACCTGTGCTGTGTGATGTTTTCGCAGAGAAGCAGATTTCGCACACGTGTGGCAAAGATAAGGCTCAATATCTACATCCCTTTTGTACTGAGAGGCTCTTAAGATGACTCCCATTTAAATAAGATAAAAAAAGATTCAGAGGGTTTTTTCCAAATGCCAAAATCTTTCCCTTCATTATAGAAGAAGTCAAATAAAACATACCTTTCCCCTCCCACCACAGTCCCTCCAGATACTATTTACCTCTGTGGAGTGGTTTCAGGCTGGAGATGAACTGGCAGACTTCGGTAGAGGATTTGCAAGCTCGAATGTAGCTTTTCACACTGCTGACGACATCGTAAAGAGTCACGTTGGATGCTAAAGAGAACGTGGATTGCACTGAAACATGCACAAAATTTGTCTCCCTAACAGAAAACAAAATAAAACAGCCCTGAGTACCACAGGTCAGTCTGATGTCATTATTAGCACCTTATACATAGGACTCTTATTAATGCATATTATACACAGGCATAAGCAAGCGATGCTTATCACAGACACAATACTGCATATATACTGAAATACATACTGCATACGTACTGTGTTGTAACAGACTTTAGAAACAGGACAAACTTAAATACAGAGAGGTAAATTTGGGGCTGGAAAGGGTGCTGGTAGCCCATTTTGAAACCAGCCATAAATACCTCCAGGCAGCTCACAGGCCCATCCCCAGGCCACTCAGGCCAGGAGCGGGTACCAGGAGAGCCAGGCAAGGTGATCAGGCATTTTCCATGCCCTGACTACTGCCAGGCCAGATTGTATCAAGACCAGCACTGACTCGAAATGGAGAATGTGGATCTCAAGTTGAACATCCTGAATGCTTGAGTTTCTCATTCTTCCCCTGGTAGCTTTAGCCTTACCTAGTTGCCTTAACTGTGGAGTGGTGGTACCCTGGTAAGCCGGACAGTGACGCATCAAGCTGCAAGGAAGGAGAGAGCAGCTGTTAGTGGCCATAGGAATGAGGAGGGATTTAGCCCAGTGGGACACAGCACAGGATAGTCCTTCTGGGTCACCAACACCAGCAAGGGGTCTCTGAGCATCCAAGCAGTTCATCTACTCAGTAAGAAAAATGCACCATCCTGTTGCCAAAGGATGGCTGAATTCACCATTATGCAGCCTTGGACAGGAACAAAGGCTTGGGGATTTTGACATGAGCATCTGCCTGGGGCCCCACTATACAATGACTGCAGAGGCTGAGGATGAGCCAAAAGCTAGTGGGGAGAAAGCCCTGTGTGAGGCCAAGCTCCAAGCAGCACCCTCAGAGACTGCACATCTTCCAAGAAGCCTCCCTTCCCCTGGATCCATGTGGCCACTTGTTTTCACTCTCCAGCACAAGCTAGGCAGGCAGCATCAAGGCAACTCACCTCATCTCCCCCTTCCTTTGGTGGGATCTCCAAATCACCTACTCCAAAAAGAGCTGGCATGAATTGCAGCCAACCCAGCAACTGCTAACACGACAAGTTCATGCATGCAATGATGTGGCTAAAAAATGAACAGAGATGTACCTATCTGCAGCCCAGGGTTCTTTTTGGAGCAACTGATGGCACAGCATACGGGGAATCAATAGCTCACCCACCACTTGCTCTTAACTGAAGACCACATGGTTGAGATAGCATGGCTGGGAACTCCAGATAGAGGAAGGCACATTTGGGTGGGTGCTGCTGCTGAGTTTCATCCCATGGGGCTTAGCTGAAAGCAAGGTGGCACCAGCTGCAGTCCAACCTGCCCCACTACCTGTGAGATACACTGATGAACAATGAAGCCCAGAGTTACTGTTTTAATGTTTGACCTTGGAGGAGCACTAATGTCATTTCAAGGTCTGGAAAAGGCAGTGCAGTCAGCAGGCACTAGGAGAGGATGTAGGCTACAGAAGCATGAACTCAGCCACACCACTTCACAAAAAAGGCTTCAGAATTTTCTGGGCAGATATGTTGTCTTAAGCCCCGTAGGAGTCAGATCTCTCTACTGCTGTTTTGACAGCCAGAGCAGAACAGGGGAGAGAAGCGTGATGGGGTTTAAAAGCGTGCATCTCGCCAGTCCTACTAGCACCAGACCAGGGTGATTCAATGATTAAAAAGGCTAAATCCATGCTACAGAGTCTCGTGGCTTCCCATGGCAACTGTAACAGGAGGGAAGGGGACCTGTCCCACCAGCATTGCCAAAGCCCTGGCAATGAGACTCACCATTGCCAGGATCTCACCCTCGACGTGGAGGAGCTCTGCATACTTCCCATGGGTAATATTAAGTTTCAGGGGAACCTGGCCGATAAATACTCTTACTAAAAAGGAGAATAAGACAAGTTAGTCAGAAAACACATCTCCATATCATGTGTAGCTGTGGTATCATCCACTTCACATGAGAGACTGTCTGCATGGAAAACCCCTTCACATAGTGGACAGAAAACTGATGGCTTACAGTCATTGCCCCAATAAAGCAAATTCCCAGCCTTGGGATTTTTCCCAAGGGTTACTGCAGTGTTCCCACATTGCCAGTCAAATTCCACTGCTCAGTGCTGTTCAGCCAGCATTTTGCTGCAGCATTCCCACATTTTATATAGAAACACAAATTAATTTAAAAGGACCCCTGAACGTAGAGAGAACTGGGCAAATTTAGCAACAAGACAGTTTCAGGTACCAAAGCTATTTACAATAATTTTGGGTAAATGTGTCAAATATCTTACCCCTCCCTGCAATGGAAAAAGAGCAAATCAGCAAGTCAAAATAAAGCACTGGAGAAAGGACATTTTCATTTTCTAAATTGTTGGGCAGAATGAGCAATGACATTTGAAAAGAGGTCCAAGAGATGCATTTTTCCATGCTTAGACTGATATTTGATTCATGACAGCAGAATGCAATAATCCGAGTTGTCCAGACTTGGAGAGATAATATCCCTAAATCTTGTATTAAGTGTCATGAGATACTCAGTGGAAATGAGAACTCAGAGCTCAGAAAAACAGAATACAGTTGCAGATAACATTATAAAGCCTCCAATTCTTCCACATTTTTTCTCATACACAGAGCCTATCTTCAGCACAAATTTTATATCAAACAGCTATAATGTAACAACCTTGGGTAAAAAAAGAGATGAGGATCACCTTCACAGTATTTATATAATCTGCCCATATCCCAGTTTAAGACATAATCAAAACAACTCTCTAAATTAGAAGATGACACATTCCAGCTCAAAGAAATGTTTCCAAACACCCTTAAGGGACACCTCACCATGTTTCCTTAGCAAAATTTCCATTCCTCTAATCCTTGCTGATTAAGGGTCAGAAGAAACTCTAGCAAAACAAATTCCCCTTTACAATGGGACATTGTAAATCCTTGAGATTGAGAGTCCTCTATTAGAAAGGAGGGGGTCAGAAGCTGAGTTCCAGCTAATAACTGCTGCATGAAAAATGCTAAAGGTAGGAAACAAGACCTTGATCTTACAAAGACTTTTCACGGCTGCTTAACGTTCTGCATATGGGTGATCCCACTGAAGCCGGGTTACACAATAGCTCAACTCACTTCACTCAAGCCAAGTGCCATCTCCAGGGTTTGCAGGGCTGGGACCTATGATAAGCTGCTGAACGCTTTCTGAGGGTTGTAAAACACATGAGAAACAGAAGGGGCACATCTGCCTTTAGTAACAAGCCTGAGCCCACCACTCTGTTGCTGTTTTTAAGAAAGCCTCAGCCATCACTGTGCCTGCTCCCTGGGGCAGCTCAACATGACAGCCATTAGACACTGCACTTGTATAAACAGTAAAAGGCTCTTGTTAAAACTGGTGGCTGGGAGGAACACTAAGCTCCTGAACTAGTATGAGCCTTGGCTAATTTATTTTAGAAGATTACAGATAATTATTTCCATCTTTTTCTTCCCTGGTTTTTCACTTTTGTTGTCTTACCTAAATTGCACTTTCCTTTTTCCAGCTCATAGCCAAGAGGACACTGACAGATATAGGAGCCATGGGTGTTGTTGCAGGTGGCCAGCGCAGGACAAGGGTTGGAAAGACATTTATCCACATCTACAAAAGCAGAAAAAAAACCCCAGGTTATAGTTACAGAATCACAAAAATTAACTGTTGGGCTAAAAAAGATCAAGTTGCTCCTCTTCTGTGACCCCTTTAGCATTATCAGATGCTTCATTGCATCATTTGCACTTACTGTTTATTCTGACAGAGCTTAATTATTCTGTTGGAGCTGAAAGGATAAACACAAACCACTTTCTCTTGAATATCCATTCAAAACCCTTTGGGATCCAGTGTTGATCCATGTTAATATGAACACCCAGCTTGTCTACCGCACTGCTCATCTGCAGATCTCAGAGTAGTTTCCAAAGACAAACAATACTACAGTTACAGATGGTGAGACAGTCAGAGATAGGCTTTGGACCATGGACTCCTTTATTGAAGTCGTGCCCTTTTCATCTAAGCCCTGTTTCTATGATCCAAAGCTAGTGCTTGAACACTGATGCAGTCTGTAGGTTACCCAGTAATGGTGGAAGCAGCCCTAGCTGGTGTCACCATCTTTACCAGGGCTGCAGTTTCCTCCATGCCAAGCTAGGGTGGTCACAGCAGCAATACCTGCCTGTGCCACCACTTGTAACACACTTCCTTCTTCGGGAGCAGACACCAACTAAGACATATGTAGTATCAGGGGATTAATGAATATAGTCTTAGATGCTTCATAGATTAACCAATTTAAACTGCAAATCTGGAGAAGATAGCCAATACTTCCCTTTGAAAAAAACCCATGTCCTGATCAAAAATGCTCATCTTGCTGTGCCTGTGACTTAAACAAGCACAAACCCACATCACACACACATGCAGGGGCAGACCATAGGCAGAACTGTAGACTTGTTGGCAACAAGGCACTATGAGATGAGCAAGACAGCTTACACCCCACTTGTAACTATTTTGTGGCTGCTAATGAGCACTGCAGCAGAGGCAGGAAGGATGGGCTTTGCAGTTAAAGCACAAAACATGAGAGCCAAACTCATGTGTGTATTTCTGACAGCACTTTGATCCCCATGGCATCACACAGGCCCTGCAGACCAGAGTCCTAAGCCAGCCTCTGCGTCAGGACACACTATTGGATGCAATCTGCATGTCTCAACTAGCCTGGCATGGCTACCCCAGCATCAGCAAGGAGGAGATTTGCTGCCTCTGATGTAAGCGCCAGAAATGAGTGGTCGTATTTTAAAACATTGACTTTCACTTTGCCATCCTTCAGTTTGTGCTTTGTACCACGGAGACCAGTGCAGCTTTTTTTTTTCATGATGGTGAGTGCCCACATAAAAAGCACTATGTCCAAGGCAGCAGAAGGCTCTTTTGCATTCTGGTAAGTGGCAAACCTCAGAGTAACTTGGCTAAAGTGTGAATCAGTTGGTAAAAAGGATACACTACCTGATTTTTTTAATAAAAAAATCCATTCCTCTACAGTGATTTTTTTTTTTCTTTTTTTTTTTCTTTTTTTTTTTTGCATGGAGCTGTAGCTATAATTAAAACCAATTAGCCTGATAAGTAACCTTTAAATACTTAATTATTGGATGGAATATATACCATTGCCAGCATTGCACTGAGATTAATGCAATTACTGCACACGATATTTTATGGTGGCATAAGGGCCAGGCTCCTGAACTTCAGACACACAACTGATTTCCACTCATATGAAACTTTGGTCAATGTATTTACTTGAGAAGATAAGGAGCCTGACAGCGGTTATAAATGATTGTAATAATACACTCAGCAAGACATAGCCCACCAGGAGAAGCAACAGGCCCTTGAGCAGGACATGATTTAGTGAGGTGGGAAGAAAATGAACATAGACCATAATAACAGAAGTTCCAACACAAATACCAGGTGCTGACCAACTGGCTTTTCTCATGAATAAAATAAATATTGATTGATATTGAGCAACATTGTCAACTGATCAAATATGAAATGCATCCTACGCTTACCTAGAAGGCCAGTCAGCTTTATTTTCTTAATGTTTTCAAATTTCAGCTTACCATTTCTAACAGAAATGTTCACCAGAATGCTCACCTTCTTCCAGAAGTTCAGCTTGATTGCTAAACCCTTAGCTTAAAAATACCAACATGGAGACTGAGTTCTTATCCTCAAACCCTGCTGACAACAGACTTGTCATATGTACATACATAACCTTTTGGAGACCCTTAAAGTGGGATCCAGGTGTTCCTGGCCCCCTTGTTCCTGGTGTCCCCACCACTGATGAGCACTGCTAGGCACATTACCTGTTGCCGGAGATGACATCCTCGGCCCAGGCGTGCTACCTGATAGAGGAACAGTGGTTGCTTTGGTAGGAGCCAAAGTAGTTGCAATGGTCACAGTAGTCTTGCTGGTTGGAGAGGCTTCAGAAGGACTCGTAACAGGGATGTCTCCCGCAGTGACTTTACCAGGCCTTGCAGTGGTGGGATCCACAGCTTCTGTGCTTTCACTGGTGGTATAGATGTGCTCAGTGGCAGCAGGTGTTTGAGCTCTGTGGTTTTTCATAGTGCTAGCATCACCTGGGGTTGGTGAGCGACTGGCCAGTGTAGTCAGCACAGGAGGTTTCACTGTGGTCACTACGGCTGCAGGGATGATGATGCTGTGGTTTGTGGCACTTGGTGCGGGAGTATGGGGTGCATCTGTCTGTCCAGGCTGTGGGGCATCGCTGGGTGTGGTGAGCAGCTGTGTTGCCTTCCCAAAGCTTCCCCCCTGGGCAGTGGTGACTCTCAGTGAGGTGGTCTCTGTTACTGTCGCGGGAGCAGAAACAGACACAATGTGTCCACCAAGCAGCTCCATAGGTGCCGTAGGGAGAAGAGACCCAACGGAGGTGAAGGCGGTGCTATCTTGGGGCTGATGCGTGACATTGTGCTTGTTGGTCTCTCTGTGCGAGCTCCCAGACACGGCAGCTGTGGAGGGCACCCGCCTCACCACAGTCGTAGCCACAG